CGTTTAGCTACTAGTCGCTAACTGACCGTTTAGCTACTAGTCGCTAACTGACCGTTTAGCTACTAGTCGCTAACTGACCGTTTAGCTCCTAAGTGCTAACTGACCATTTAGCTGCTAATCTATAATAATTGAAGGTTTCAGGGAGAAGATAACCCTTTCAGACAATAGAGTTCCTGAATGGTTTTCTGCAGATGTTTCTTGATTGACTTCCTTGCAGAGTGGATCGATACCTGCAGAGTTTCAGCTGAGTCAGCTTTATGTCCATCTTCTCCACCACGGCCGGCAGAGGTAACCCTTCACCTGGCCGCAGAGCGAAGCTGTTTTCCACCGTGATCAGCCCTAGATCCACCACCAGGGCATTCTGGGAGGTGGAAGACTGAGGGACAATGATGAGGGGAGCTTTCAGCCTGATGTCCGTGGACAGACGGAAACTCTTATGAGCAAAGTCTCGGACGCTGGATGCAGCTCTCTCTGCGGCCTGAGAAGTGGCGGCGCTCAGAGCCTCTTTAGCCGTCTGAAAGTTGTCAATGAACATCTGGAACACAGACAGCAGAGCGTGAGGCCTTGTGTTTGGCCGAGGCATTCACTGCATGTATGGAGTATTCAGGTTGGTTCCGTTTAATAAATAGGATGTCAGCAATATGAACCTTCTGAAAACAGCTAAGAAACAATGGCTTTAAATCTCTGAAGACACAATAAAAAGTCACTGAGCTAAAAGATGCTAAAACTGAATGTTGGCTTTGCAATAAAAGCTGTTTGAAGGTTCATAAAGGAAGCTCCACATTTAGGAAACAGGTGAGGAACAAATTCAGGTAAGGAAGTGAGGTCATTCAGGCAGTGGTCATGTGACAGAGAGGGCATGGCAGTGAACAGGTGAGGTAAATGATGGCAGTTGAGTGAGTTGCATAGCACACGTAGAGAAATGAGGCCTTGGTGTAGTCAGGCATGGAAAACATTCATTTAGAGCTCCATCGGTTCCTGCTGCGCTCACTAGAGATTCCAGTCTGAACAACTCACGGTCCAATGGGTCTGGAGGCACCAGGACCACAGGAGTCACCAGGACCAGTGGAGGCACCAGGACCCCTGGAGGCACCATGAGGTACCAGGAGGCACCAGGACCCCTGGAGGCACCATGAGGTACCAGGAGGCACCAGGACCACTGGGGGCACCATGAGGTACCAGGACCACATGAGGTACCAGGACCACAGGAGGCACCATGAGGTACCAGGAGGCACCAGGACCACTGGAAGTACCATGAAGTACCTGGAGACACCAGGACCACAGGAGGTACCAGAACCAGTTTAGCCACCAAGACCACTGGAGGCACCAGGACCAGTTTAGGCACCAAGACCACTGGAAGCACCAGGACCAGAGGAGGCACCAGGACCAGTGGCGGTACACTCAGGGTTAAACAAAGACGACTCTAAATTCCGCTCAATAAATCAACCCAAGCACTAGATCTGACAAACAAGTAGAACATCTAGATTCATTTGAGTCTGCTTTGCCCAACAGAATCCAGTTCAAGTTAAAACTTCCTCAAGCATCAGAGGTACTGGTGGAGAACGGTAAGGTTCAGTGCTTGGGCTGCTTTCACTAGTAAACATATGGGATTGTCCGATGTAGCCAACCAGAAATCCTAATCAATCCAATCCGTTGGGTGGGCTCCAGTGTTAAAACCTGGAAGACTCTAAACTTTGTTGTTGTTTTTGGACCAGAACCTTTTAAAAAGAACCTGTTTAGTCAATCACTGATTTGGATTGTAATAAATTGACCTTCCATGATAAAGTAATGAACCTCTGTACTATTTTGGGCCAGGATGTGTCATTTAGATCCCATATTAAGAAGTTTCTAGTGATTTCTTTTTGCATCTCTGAAATATTACAAACATGGTATCCAGCAGTGAATCTGATAATCTAATCCAAGCATCTGTCCCTTCAGGGCTGGACTCCACAAAGAGCAGCTAAGGGCTGATCCAAAACGCTGCAGCTACTGTTCTGATGGAAGTGAAAAAGACTGTTCATAATTCTACTATTTTATCTTCCCTTTATTGGCTCCCTATTAATCCAGATTATGATCTCAAATTCTCACATATAAAGTCCCTAATAATCAGCTCCATCAGAGATCTAACTGGTCCAGGTGTTCCTACCAGAACCCCTCGGTACCAGCCTGCTGGTTCCTAGAGGTTCCAGGTGTAGAATGGGAGGCAGTGCTTTAGTCTCGGTTTACGGAGGCGACACCCTGGATACTTTCAAGACTAGGATTAAAACCTTCCTGTCTGATGAAGCTGATGGACTGGCTGAGGTTTTCCTGATCTGTCTCTGCAGTTATGCTGCTGGGGACAAACTGACCACCGACTCTGCCACTTTCTCCTACTACTCCCCAGTTATCTGCATTTACTGTTAGATTTGTTAGAACTTCCTGTTCTGACCAAATCAGAACTAATTGGCCCGGGTTTCTCTAACAGCAGGTTCAGGATTGTTCAAATCTCCAACCAGTTTTAGGAGTTAGAGTTCTGAAGCTTTGGATGTATCTGCACCACGCAGATGTTGCACGCAGGTTGGTTAGATGCTTCCAGTTTGCTAATGTTGGGTTCTCCTTGTGAGTCCAAATGGGTCGAGGTTAACTTTAGTTCAGGACGGGGTAAACCAGGTCACAGGGACCTTAAACCAGATGAGTATATAGGAGAGCTGAGGGTGCAGCAGTGTAAAGCAGGAGGTTTGATGCAGTTCAGAGCTGCATGCTGGATGCTGTACCTCATCAGCTGACGGGTACTGAAAGCTAAAGGAAGCCTGTAAGGACAAAACACACCAACAAGACAGAAGACATTAGAGACAACAGGTGAGGAGAACATGCAACAGAGAACAGATACAAAACATTCAGGGTTTAACCTGCAGCTGCATGTAAATCTGAAAGGTGCCTGCAGGCTGCATTCATCCCTTGCTTCAGCTCAGGAAGTGACATCACCGCTACTGCTTCCTGTTGCCCATTACTACCCCACCCATGATCCCAAACTGACCCTAAATGACCCCAAACTAACTACTCATTTGGAAATGTAAGTTCAGTAATAGAATGTCAGGAACCATTAGCTGCTAGAAGACCAGAATAATTTTCTGCAGTGAGACTAGTTTCACCATGTTGATTGATTGATTGATGTTCAGAGAGAGAGGCTGTTGATGATCCCAAGAGACAAACATGGAGCTGCTTGGACAAGATATTTGGAGGAAGCTAAGTGAGGCTTTTAAACCTTAAGCATGGTAGTGGCAGCATCACGCTGTGTGGCTGCATTGCACAACCTGGATGAAGTAAAGCTGAACCACCTGCAGGTTCCAGCAGATGGTCCAGCAAACATCTCAACTAGCTTTAATGGCAGAATCAGGCCCTAACTTTTGACCTCAACTCGGTCAGAAATGCATGTATTATGATTAGAAGCTGGTGCTACTGGAAACCAACCAGTTTACGTGAACTGTCCCAGTTCGGCACAGCCGAGCTCAGATATCAGCCAGAAGCTGGTTGATGGTTTGTTTGAGGTGCAACTTACTCATAAACATCTAGTCAAATATTAGCAGAGGTGTATGTATACTTGTGACCCTATGTGAATCAGAGACAAACCAAACAATCTGATTCCACTGTGTGAACAGAAGTGGCCCGATTATTCACTAATGTCT